GCTTGTAGTGGCCCTCCCATGGACAGCCCCATTGGTCAGCTTGGGTCCTGACTGCATCTCTGCCCTTCCTACCATTTTTGTTGTGGCCTCTTCATGTTTAGCTGTGAAGATTCTGTTCTGTCAGCCGTTGGGTCCTTTTCTGGGTTATTTACATTGACGTGGGTGGTATCTAGGTGTATCCACGCGACAAGGTGAGCTGAGGGTCCTATGTCATCCGCACATCTTATGCTTTTCCATTGCTATTTCCGAGAGTCTCCGGGCAGACGCTTTAACACCAGCAAATACCCTGTCCTCATTAAAACGTACCCGTAGTTCAGCGTCAATTAATGATTGTTACTTTAATCTTTACTATGATGGTTACAAAGTGATGGCTTTTCCCACCCCATCACGACCTCCACATTTACCAGTCACAACTCTTCATTATCCTGCAAGCAACAGCCCACCTGCTAGGGATGGAATTGTGCCCACACCAAATTTGTATGTTGAAGCCAGAGCCCCCAGTGTGGTTATATTTGGAAATGGGGCCTCTAAGGAGGTAATTAAAGTGAAATAAGGTCCTACGGGTAGGGCTCTGATCCAATAGAATTAATGTCCTTGTAAGAAGAGACGCTGGAGAGCTCTCTCTCCGTGGAGCACAAAGAAGAGGTCACGTGAGGACACAGAGACCCAAGAGAAGAGGCCTCAGACACCTACCTTGCCAGTATCTTGATCTTGGACCCTCCCCGCATCCACAACTGTGAGAAATAGATTTCTATTGTTTTAAGCTACCCAGCCTATGGTATTCTGTCATGGTGCCCACTCTAAGATACCACCTTTCTCCCCCATTTATTTTTACCTATTTACCTATTTTCTATTTCTTATACGCATGAACTCATGGATTCCTAATTTTAATGGTTCATAATTTTTTATTGTCCTTAATTATATGACGCTTATCCAAAATTTGGCCAGTGGGAAACCACTCTAGCCTGCTTCTTTGTCCTCCTAAAACGCACTTTTCTTTTTATACCAGAAAGTAAGGGCGGGGGGTGAAGAATGTTCCAAATGTTCTTGCCTCAGCATTAGAATCCACACTTTCTCTGGGAAGGCCTGGTTCCTTTCAGTGGGGCAGCCGGCACCACAGTGCTCCCTAGTTGGTCAGTGCTACTGGGATATCTGCTTCTAGTCTTCTTTTCTAGAAAGAACTAGGAAGCTCACATGTACACATACACATACTTTAGAAATCATGGGTCTGACAAAACTTATGAGTTGTGAGAAATGTCTCCACTTCCAATCTCCTCTCATAGACCTCCTGACCTGCCTGATTCCATATCCATATTTTCTTTCTTGCACAATTTCCTTCTTGCACAACCCTAGGTTCCAACGCCATTTGCCCAATCCTCCAGTGTACCTAAAATAACTGCAGAATTGCTTTACCACACCACCACAAAAATCAGACTAACTGCAAATTCAGGATTTGTCTGCCATTCCTCACCTCTTCCCACACGTGAGTAAGGTACACTTATAAATATGGTCTTCCACTGTTACTTGCATCAGTTATAGTTTTCCTTCAGTGGGATTATGTTTTCATTCGAAACACAGTCGGGTCCATTTGTTTCAGCTTGCTCTCCGTCCTTACTGACTTTAATCCTGTCCTTACTGATTTATTTTCAAATTAGTAAAATATGAGCATGCTTTCCCAGTCAACTAAATTAAAAGATAAATTCAGTAGGGTCATACCCTCCCCCACTCCATCTATCCTCTTCTTCCACCCAGTCCTTTTAGAAACCAACCTCATGGTTCAACCGTCCCTCATTTTGTTTATGGAAAGATAAGGGGACACAGGCATGTTTATTTCCCCTTTGTTCCTAAATATATTCTTGTGCACTTTGATTTCCAGGCGATAGATACCATTAAATGAGAAAAGCATTCAATACAATTTTTTCAAAGAAACAAAATTCTCATTCATTAATTTGGTCTTTTTCTCTACCTCATCATTTCCACATGTATCTTTCTTATTTCCCTCCATATGCTTTTTTGGGTTGGCTTTTTTATTCTTTTCTAGTTTTTTTTGAGTTGGGAATTGAATTTTTTTAATTCTCATTGGCTTCGCAATTCTTTATCCATCCCTTTTAGACTTTTGAAGGACTGTTTTATGTATGTCTTTTCTATAAAAGTATAGAGTTGGGGTTTGTTTTATGAACCAATCTCAAAGTTCTTAGGCGAGTTAAACCCATTCACATTTAGTGACACAACTCATAATATTTGGTCTCTACACTGAAATTACTTTGGGTTTGAATTATACATATACTATTTACTGTGTTTCTTTACTTTTTGCTTTAAAAAATATTCTTGGTGTTGGAAGTTTTCCCCCCATTATCTTGTGTTTAACTTTTTATGCCTATTGTGTTTTTCCTATTTAATAGTATTAAGATCTGTCAGTTTTACACGGTATCCTTTGAATCCCATCTACTAGCTATACAATAAGCCATGATCTGATCCTACTTTCCTTTTTCTTTCCATTTTTTTAAAGTTACATACTTTCTACTTTGTCAAAACATAGTATATTTATATACCATTCCCCTACCTATATACCTATTCCCCAACCCTGTTTTAACTTTACAGTTATATATATGAAATATTCACCATCAGTCCTCTTGCCCAAATTTCATCTCTCTTGTCTGCATGAAGTTCTTTCTCTAATACATTCCCCACGAAGGATGCATGTGCACACTACTCATTTAGTTGGTGGACATTAAGAAATTTCCTACTGATCCTGAAGAGCATCTTAGCTGCATATAAAACTTATGATTCACCATTTTTTGAGTTTAACATGTTCCTCTACTGTTTCTGATGCCAGTCTTACTTTCTTGCTCTTTCATCATTTTGTCACAAGACTCAGAGGACGTTATCAAAATCTACTGGATTTGTCCAGCTATGGGAAGAGGTTGATGATCCCAGCTCAATTTTCCGTGGCACCTACCAGGTAGGCCCTTTTAATATATACATTAAGGTCCTCTTTTATTTCTGGTAATTTAAGTGTTATTTCTATGTTTTATTTTCTTCAATCAGGAACTCCAGTTACACAGGTGTTGGACTTCAGTACGTGTTCATTTTAACCACTTTTTTTCTCACCCTTTTAACTAACAGACCCCATTTTCATTTTCTAGGATGCTTTCCTAATTTTTATCCATGTCTCTTGTTAAATTCTCATTTGAATTTGTTTACTTCTGGATGTTTTGGTCATAACTTCAGAGATGAATTTGCCTTTTTCTTTCTTTCCTGAGTCTAAAATTCTAGTTTTGCTTTTTCCCTTTCTTGTCCTCTTTTTTTTTTTTTTTTTTTTTTTTTTTTTTTTTTTTTTTTTTAGTTTTTGAATTTTTGACCTCTCAGTCTTGTAATTATTCAGCTTGACTTAGGAGAAGCCAGAAGAGTTCATGCAACTGAGGATGATTGGAGAGTCTCGCAAGGAAAAGGTGACAAGCTCAAACTAAAACACGTTTAAGACCTCACTAGGCAATTAGATATTATTGCTGGTAAAGATGAACAAAAAAAGAAACTCTAAATGAACACGTGGCAAAACGTGACTGTACTGAGGACTGATGACACAAGTGAAGTAGAGATTTAACAAATGCTACACACGATGTTACTGAAAGAGTCCATTCTTGGAGGTGATTGTGCTCCATTTGGACACTCACAGTAGTGTCTGGGGTTCACTGATCTGGAATCAGTGTCTGGATCAGTTGGTTTATAGTTTTCATCAAATTTGAAAATCTTTCTTTAAATATTTGTCAGATGCCCCTTCTGGGGACTCCAAATTGCCTACATACAAAGCCACCTGAAATTGTCCCACACCGCAGTGATGTTCTGTTCACTGGTTTTAAATTACTTATCTTTGTGTTTCCTTTGGACAGTTACTATTGCAATATTCACAAGTTCACCGATACGTTCTTCTCCAAGTTCTAATTTGCTGTTAATCTTATCCAATGGATTTTTCACCTCAGACAAAGTAGTTTTCATCTCTAGAAGTTCAGTTTGGTTATACCTTCCATGTCCCTTTTTGAATAAATGTAAGAGTTACTAAGCTGCAACTAACAGAACTTGTAGTTATAAATAACTAGTTAACGCTGTCATTTCTGGGGTAATTTCAATCAACTGATTTTTCTCATCATGGGTACGTTTTCCTGCTGCTTTCCATGTCTGGGAACTTTTGATTGAATGCCAAGCATTGTGATTCCTTGTTGGGTGATGGATATTTTGGCACTTCTCTAAATCTTGAGCTTTGTTCTTGGATGCAGACTAGTTACCTGGAAACAGTTTGGTCTTTTAAGATCTCTTAGGCAGGACTGAAGCAGTACTTAGCTATTTCCCACTATTAAAGCAAGATACTTCTATATCTAGCTACTCTACCCAACACCCTATGAGTCCAGGGTCTCCCAGTCTGGCTGGTAGAAACAGGTACCCTACTCAGCCCTGTGTGAGTGTTGGGCACCATCCCCTCTCATCATCTTGGCTGGTTCTCTCCCCAGCGTCCAGTAGTTTCCTCACATGTATGCACTGATCAATACTCAACTGAATATTTGAGGGGAGCCCCCACAGATCTCCAGTGTTCTTTCTGTGCAGCTCTCCCTCTCCAGTGCCCTGTCCTACAAGCTAATGGGTCTCGGTCACCCCAGGCTCTCAGCATCATCTCTTTAACTCAAGGAGTTGGCCACGTTCCAACGGGGTTCCCTTCCCTCAGCAGCTATTTACATTCTCTTAAGGCAGTTAGCTGGGGCTGTCATAGAACTTACTTCATACGTCTCATATGTCTCATGGGTTACTGTCCTTTGTTGCCTAATGTCCAGGGTCTTAAAAACCCTCGTTTCATATATTTTGTCCTTTTTGGGGCATTGTTTCAAACGTGAGGGTAAATCTAGTCCCTGTTACTCCATCTTGGCCAGAAGCAGAAGTACCCATCCTAGCTTCTGAATATGAATATATGTAGAATATAAAGCCACCCTAGGCTGATGAGAGCTCCTTACCTTATTAACGTGTCATCATCCACAATGACTAACCATGCTATCTTGTCATGGCTGTGATTCAAAAATCTTTCCAAAATGGCAAATGTCTTTCCACAATGACCTAGGAAAGGCAAAGAGAGAACTTACAATGTAATATTTTCTTTAAAATACATATAGAACTCATTTTAAACATGGTTATATTTTCAAGGTTTTAAAAGTAAAAGCTTAACTGCTGACATGCACAGGAATAATCAGAAACTTAAAAAATTAGCTTCCTGTAATTTGCATAGGCCTCGTGAACCAATGTGGGAGCTTTAGAGATCATGAAGTCTAAGCCATGTACTTCACACACGGGAAATCAGGGGACCCAGAGACGGGAATAACACAAGGTCACTGAGCTGATCGGAGGAGGGGCCAGTTATCTCCACTCCAGACAAAGTTGTAAGCCTCATGGAAAGTATAAGGCTTGGCACCTTTCCTTAGATGTCCTTAATCTGAAGGAACTTTTAGAACTCCAAGCGTTGCAACTAAAGGGAAACAATGGTACAAAAGCAGGATATTACACCTTCAATCGTTGACTTTATAAATATTTGCCATATGCTAGATACTGTGGCCGGTTCTGCCCTAAAAGTACAGTGTGGACTAAGTTACAGTTCTTCAGATGCCAACAGACAAACGTCACTGCTTTAATGGAAAATTCTGGGGCCCAAGCTAAGAATAAAATGCTTGGGAAGAGAACTCAAATCAGTAAACAGCCATCTACCCCGGATTGCAACAAAATATTTGGTGACACAAGAGAGAACAAGCTAATGTTAACTAATAGTAAACCACTCAATGTGACCTTTGTTTTCATTTTTCTTAGTCGCTTAAGGTATTTTTAACCATTATTTGAAGGCCATCTCTAATTCCTTTTGGAGCAAGGCAAAATAGGAATAGCAATAATAATGTCAGACTAAACACAAAAGAAGAAATCGAATAAGAAATACACGAGTAAGTGAATGTTAAAGGCAACCTAAATTGCAATCTAAAAAGCAAGCTTAACCAAAAAAACCTCAGTCTAAAATCATTTTTCCGAAACAAAGCAACAGACAGACTCAGTAATATATGTAACCTTGTCAGAAGAATTGATAACTACAGGAATGGCTTATCTGATTCTACTTTGTGCATTATCAATCAAGGCATTATGAGAGACACGACCATGAAATAATCCAGATAAATTACTCTTTAGAACAAGAAAATCAACTTACTACTTCTTTTTCTACTCCTAAAAGGGTATGGGGAACCAGGAACTGAAGAAGAGTGTGACAGGAACACTAGATGAAAAGTGAGATGAACAAAGAGCATCCACAGGTAAGGTGGTCAGCTTTCTACTTGCATTTTTTTTGAAATAAACAATGTTTTTAATTTGAAGCCAGAATCTGAAGAGAAAAACCGGTGCACTACCAATCATCACTAATTAAAATATTCACAAAATACATGAATATCACAGAGCTTACGCCACACATAACCAGTGCAAAACGTGGGTAAACACTACGCAACAATTACACACAAAATGTGAGCTAGACCATAAGCTTCATGAGGACAGAAACCATCGGCTTCGTTCCTATTTTCCCAGCTTCTGGGGCTGGCAAATAGCAGGCATAGAACAATCCTGGCGGGTTAAGCTGCTAAAATCCAATGTGGAGAAGCTTTGTGTGGAAAGATGATAAATTAACTGGGGACACTCCATTATGGTCACAATGAATTATGAAGGTATAAAAAAAAATCTGTTAAGTAATCCTAATTGTCATATGCTCTGTCCTATTGATATGGCCCAACCACTTCCAACCTTTCTTAGTGCTTATAAAGCAGCTCTTAATCTGAGAGAATTGGTCCATATCCCTGGGCAAAGACGTTGGGAGGGAAGGAAGTGAAACTTACGTAAGGCAAAAATCATAGAATTCTAAGACATTTCATTTTCATCCTAATTTACTCTCTTTCCGGAATGGACATTCTGAATAAGAGTGGTGAAAATTAAGGACTCACCTCTATCTGTATTAGGAATCCCCAGATCTACTGTAGGAATAGAACTTTCTGCGTGATCACTGTAGTATTCAATGAGACTTGCCTGTCCTGCCCAGGTCTGCTTTACAATGGGGACTGAAATGAGAGGAGTGACAGTCACTGGCACAGTTACATAAGGAAGCTTAGAATCTCAGAAGGGCAGCATTACCACCTATAAAGGAAGAGAACCATTATTTGTTGTTCTTCAGGTATTCTAACGTGCTTGCTTTTCCCACCCTGAGAAATATCAGGTTGTTTGTCAAGGGCAGCAGGTGGATAGAACCCTCTTCTTGAGACATTTTTAGTGTACCTTAGAGCCCAATACTTCTCACTCCTGGTGACTCCACATTTCTCACGTCCATGTAATGATACATTTTCTAGTCTGATAATACTGTTGTGTTTAATTTTCCTCTTTTCCCCATAGGCTATTTCATTTACTATTCACAACTGGATTTTTAAAATGCTTCTCAGAGGGGTGAGGAATAAAATTACCTCTACGGGATGGGAATATTCTTTGTTTCTGGCTGAGATGCAAAGCTCTCTCCCTTACAATGAGGGTAGGAGGCTTCTCAAACTACACCCTAAGAGAACCACGCGATCCTATGGAGGGCACGACCCTACCACTGAGAGTCACTGCACTGAATAGCCAACAGGCTTGTGTTGTACTTTTGAAAAGTGCGGAAGAAGTAATATTGAGAACCATTACTGTATTTTTGACCTCTATCATTAACAGATAAATTTCTAATAAAATTTAAAAAAGAACACAGAAAACTTTCCAGGTTGTCTGTAATTCAGAGCTAACTTTAATCATCTCCTGTCTCCACCCTTGATGGAATTCTGCCTAATTATGTGACATTAATTCACTTGGCCCAATATAGAAGTATTTTCTTAGATACTTGTTTTTTAGTTACTGGCTGTGCATCTTTAAATTTTGAGAAGAGGTTTCTGTTTTTTAATAGAAAAAAAAATCATCATATCTAGATTTTAAACCCTGGTAATTTATTAAGACTCTCCACCGCAAAGAATTTAAATCTTCAGGTCAGCATTTTGAGACTTTTATCAGATCATTTCTCTTTTTCCTTTTTCCCAGCCCAAATAAAAATGTATGCAAAAACTCCCAACGCACTGCCAAATCTAAGTGTCTGGCTGTGCGTGTCAACAAACTCAAAGTCAGACAGCCATTGTATATAAAATACCAAAGCATGCCATTTTATTCATTATTCGCCAGCTTTTAAGAAAGACCTATGAATTCTGGACATTTGTTATAATGTCTAAATTACCTATTGCAACCCACTAAATAACTTTTAGATCTTAAAATGTAATTCTTCTGCAATCAGAAAGGCAGAGATTTGCTCCTGTCAAAATAGACAACGATGCATAAATAATAGATAACATAATAATAGAGAAGATGCATAATAATAGATGCGGCTGCTTGGGTGGAGGGGGGCGGGTAGAAAAAAATCCTCTTCCGTTCTACTTTCAAGTTCCAGCACAATAAGAATCTTCACCTTGGCACTGCAGTGGCAGTTTGCTTTGCATGTCACAAGCAGAGGACTTACCCCGGAAAAGGGCTCCCTGCAGCCTGCAGCCACTAAATGTTCACTCTTGGGTAAAATGTCCTCCCTTGCATGACTCTGGAAGAAGCTGTGAGGAGAGGTCAAGAATTTTCCTCAGTCCCCAGCACTCAGTGCTGCAAGCTGTGCAAAGTCTGCGTTCACGGTCCTCAGCCTTTAGCCCTCAGCTCCTGTCTGCTCGAGTAGCTTTATTAAACAGCACAGGTCTTTCTTCTTGGCTGATTTAAATGCTATTCAAATCAAGAGCGAGTCCTTTGCTGCACCTAACTACCTGCTCTCAGGTTTTGTTAGAAACTGCTGAAACAGAAATTTCACTGAAGGTAAGAATTACCTCACTCTCCAACACCTAGCACGGTGGCCAGGATGTAGCAGGTGCTCGATAAATAGTTGAATGAGGACTGAATTTTGTAGAAGTTCCAACAAAAGGCTTGGGGCCATTTGCGGAACTAGTGTTAAAGGAAGGCTTCACTCAAAAAGGCAAGCCATCATTTGGCACGAGACTGTTGCCACCATTTTAACATAGTAAGGTGTTACGGTTCTATTATCCCTAAAGCATTCAACAATTGTTATCGCCTGTCCCCTGATCATTATAACTCCTGAGGCATTTGTCGTATCTGGCAGCTGTAAAGAATTTAAAACTAAGGCTGTCTCCTGCAACCGCAGGTAAAGCCTTTATTTTCAACTGGGGGTGATTCCAAATTACCTAAAACTTCTAAAATACTGCTCTATTCTAAAATATTGGGCATTGTTTGAATTCTAGGTTGAATTCGTTCTATTTATAAGATATTCTATTTTGAGGTGCTATATCCCTAAAGATATTGAACTTAGAGAAAATAGTTGAATATAGTCACGTGATCCATCATCTCGTTTTCGATACAGAGAAGCCTGCTTTCTACCACCTAATGAAACACTAGTGAATGCCTCTTTCAAGAAGGTTTGCCACAAGATAACTTAAAATTGGAGCAAAGTAAAACTTTACTATTAAAAAAAACCCCACTGCACAGATGGCATAAATCTTCCACATGGCTTTACAGACTCGAAGCAGGAGGAGATGTGTCTCGCTACGAGGCACAGAACACACATTTTTACCCCCGGTGAATTTACTTGCAAAACTCCGATTCCAAGTGAAAAATGAACGAGACCCTGAAACCCCGTGCGAAAACTACCACACAATCAAACGTGAAGGACTCCTGATTTTAGGAAATCTGCTAGTTTCAACGGACAAATGGACCTTTCTTCTCTGTATGCACGTCCATGACAAGACCCTGACTGCTCCTCTCTCCTCAGGGGAGGGCTAGAGACACACACCCCAAGGGTGTGTTATCATTCGTGCTTTGAAAGATGAGATATACGCAGAACTGAAAAGCAAGCCTCGCGGCTGCTCTCAAACAACAACATCTAAAACAGCCCGGAACCTCGCGATCTGTTCAACAGCCAGGGGGAGAGCCGGGGGAGGGGGAGGGCAGCACCTGACTCCTGTCCTCTCTTTAATAATTAATTGAATCACACCATTCGGCGCGGCGTAGCCTTCTGTCTGGCTGCATTTTAATTCAAGCCTCGTGTTTTAAACGAGCAGAGCCTACCGCAGTACCCAGAAGCCTCTCTACTCGAAACGGCCAGCTACCATACGCTCCTTTCGATAAGTTTGTTCAGACTCGCCTCTTCTAGACAAGATGACTGCAGTAAAGATAATAGGGTGGGTGGCTGTTTTGTGTTTTCCCGTCTGAAAGGAAAAAAGTTTATTTTGAGGTGCTCACGAAGCTGTGAAAAGGAACTAAAGGCTGAGCAAACAGCAATTTTACCTCTTTAATCAGAGGAGGCCGCAGGAGGAGAGCATCTCACAACCCGCCACCTGATGAACAAACCAGTGGCCGCCACGAGACACTCAAGACACGCAGAGGAACGGCAGGGCCAAATGGTGCAAAGAAAGTTCTTTGCGTTTTCTGACAGCTCACGTCACCCAGTGGAAACACACATAACCCAAGAGGAAGTGAACAAGCAGAATATTAAAACTCCAGAGACCTTTTTCTTGCTTAAACATAATTTTACAGGCTATGCCTAATTTGCTTTATATAATACTTTTAAAGTTTCTTTCAAACCCCACTAACTGCGTGCGTCTCAAGAGTGTGTTGCTATTTCGATGGTGTCAATATGTATTTCTTTCTTAAGCCAAAAGATAGGATATATTTTTTGCTGTGTCCTAAGAATGCTTTATTTCATTTAAATCAAAATCCAGGCACAAAGCAGTTACATAAACGTTGGTTTCACTGTTAGGCCAAAAAGGTACAAGATGTAAAATAATTTCTTTTTAATTTTGGGACTTGCCTTTATTATCCATTCTCCATTGAGAATATAAAAAATGAGTTCAGTGTATATTTCCCTTGCCTTGACTGGAGCCTTGAAGAGAAAGTTCCATCCCTCATCCTGGATGTGGCCAACGTTATAAGGAGCTGGGGTGGGGGGCATCGCTAGGGTCTGCTGCATCCAGGGGCAGGGCACCCACGTCACTAGCAGTATAGCCGACTCTCGGTTTTCCAAAGATAAATATACAGTCTTATCTATGTTTTTCTTCCCCTTGTCGTTTGGCCTTTGTAACTTCACTGTTCCTACCACAAAGTGCACAGGGAAAGAAAAAAGAAAAAAAAAACCCACCCCAGTCTCTATATTCTGCTTTACTGTAGACTCTCATCCCTGTCCAAGCAGCTTGGTTTATCTTTTAGATCATCTGTGGGTTTCAGTTCCTGGCTATCCCCATTGCTCCTGAAAATAAAAAGCCTACTTTCCCACCTTCTGGCCAAGTCAAAAATGACCTTGAGCCTAGCAGAATGTCAAAATGAATATCAAATACTATTTATCAAGTGTTAAGACTGTAATACATCCAAGGAGATTACACTATAGCTGTGCTGTGGCAGAAAGAATTTGGGATTTGGAGCCAGAAAACCCGAGTCCCAGCTCTCCTACTCAATAGTCTACAAGAACGTGGGCCAGTTGCGTCTTGTCCCACACTCTGATTTCTCTACGGTATCAAAGGAATAACAACATTAATTACCACATCATGTGGAATTGTCAGTATGAACGCAGACGATAGAATGTACGTAAAAAACACGTCAGAAAATGCAGAAGAGGTCAGCAGAAGCAGTTACTATGGTGTTCTCAATGTAACTAATACGATTACTGCATAATTCTCTGGACCCACTGGTGGCTCGACTAGCCGCCCAAAAGGAGGAAAGGAGCCCCGTGGCCTACCAGGCTCACTTCCATCAAGCAATATGGACATCAAAGTCCCTAGAATCCTGCTGCCTTAGACCACCTTTTCAAACAAACATCCAAGTTTAAAGATGGCTTGCCACGGAAAGCCAACTGTGAAAGCCTCATGCTACCTTTTAAGTCTCAGGCTGCAGTGTCCTCGGATCCAAATTCATAGCAGCCAATCAACGCATCCAGCTTTAGGAGGTTTGGTTTCAACGCTCCTAACAGGCTTTGAAGACTGGTCATTTTTAAAGACCTTTGACTTAAAATTCAAACATAAAAACGTTTGACAGAGATCTGAAAAGATGACCTCAAGCGTATGCCAACAAGAAGGCAATAAACTAGATCGTTCAAAACTATTAAGTTAGCAAACTTTTTTTTTCATTTCTGTAGAATATGAAAACTACAACAGGGATGGTCCCTAATTTTACTGCTTTACTGTCCGTTGAAAAATGTCTCAAAAGAGACTATGCCACCGTCCTTAACATCAATATTATGAAAGCAGTCACTACTCCCAAGTGCAGCTTCAAGATCAAATAATATCAATTTGAACATTTCTGCTGGCTTAAAAAAATAAAATAAAGCAGTCGCCTCATTCATTTCCTTTGATAATTTTTTGTAAGATATGTCAAAAATTGTCCCCAAAAGCCCTTCCTGATTTTCTTTTTTTTTTTTTTAATTTTTTTTGCAACGTTTTTATTTATTTATGGGACAGACAGAGACAGAGCATGAACGGGGGAGGGGCAGAGAGAGAGGGAGACACAGAATCGGAAACAGGCTCCAGGCTCCGAGCCATCAGCCCAGAGCCTGACGCGGGGCTCGACCTCACGGACCGTGAGATCGTGACCTGGCTGAAGTCGGACGCGCAACCGACTGCGCCACCCAGGCGCCCCAACCCTTCCTGATTTTCAAAAAGGAAAAAGGGTATTAAATCTAGGTTAAATTTGTGAATCATGAAAATGTTGACACTATGTTGATTTTTAATAGCCTTTAGGACTCCTTGCATAATGAGTGCATATATTAGGCCGATTTAATAGGACCTGGCACTTCATGTGGCTATTTTGGGTAAACATGAATGTTTATAGTTATGTACTTTTAAGAAACTGTTCATCATAACCAGATTTTAATTAATGTCAATATCTTAAACAATACTTGAATTCCAAATAATAATATTCTTTTATTTGGGAAATGTTCCCCTTTAAAACATAATTTGTAAGAATCATATTATCAAATAAATTATATAAATGAACTTCCCCCCATAGCTCTAATCCCATGAAAACGACAGCTGGTTTAGAAATCTCTTCTACATAAATATCACACTCTTCATGAAATCGACAGTCTTTTCATGGAAAAAAATTAAAATATATGCTAAAATTAGAAAATGCAAAAGACTGTCTAATTTTCAATTTCAGAAAAGTGCAGCTTGAAATAAGGCGAAAAAAGAAAAAAATTATGTCTACTTATATTTAGGGTGGGCTTTTTCTTTTACATTATCACCATAACTTAGTAGAATTCTGTAATGACACCAAAAACTTGAATAAAAACAACATTCGTCTGCATGCCAAGATTTCCTTAAGAAGGGACCACTGTGTATAAGCCACCTGCTGTCTTTTCCGTAACATAATCTTCTCGTGAGCACATACGTATTTTACTTTGAAAGTTCCAATGTGTGCATCCAACAGAAATGTAAAAAGAAGGATTAGTCTCCAAGAAAACATCCTTCACTGGCATTCTCTCACCTTGAAGTCCCCTCTAACATTCTTCATACAGTTCAGAGACGAAGCATGGACAAAATAGGACGTTATTCTGCAAAATGGATTGTTATTCACACATTGTGTCCGAGATTACCACAGCTGAGATTTCCCATTTCCAATTTAAAACACTGCTCTGAACAGTATTCAGAAGGGCTAGGGACACTCATGTTTCAATACAAAACTATCCTTTCTAATTGATTTTGGTGACTGAAATGGTATGATGAGGAGTACTAATTAAATAACTGCTTTTCATTTCAATATATGTGTTCATTCTCCCTTTCTTGAGTTTGTATCTGGTCTGTACTTTTTTTTAAAGGCAGCTTGGATTTTAAAAGTTCAATAAAAATGAATGACACAAAACCTACTTCTATCACCATGAAATTTCTTGCATGTTTTTACTGCGAAAAATATATCCTCTTTCTTCACTGGATGTCCCTAAAAGACAAGAAAACATATATGCACATATGAGTCTATGTTATATGAACATCCACATTCACACCCATGTCAGATATCACATGCTATGGAGGTGAAATTCACCGACGTCAAGGGTATCAAACCTGTTTCCAGGGTTCAGTTTTAGGGAAAAACAGGAACTGTAGTTGAGCTGACAAGGCCTCTGACGTCAGCCAGACCTGGGCCCAAATCCCAGACTGCCCTATACACACTGTGTCACCCAGACAACAGTCTTCAGCTCTCAACTCAGTCGGCTCATTTAGAAAATGGTCAGAATAGCTACCAGTCAAGCTGCTTTTATTACTCCATTTATTAAGCACATTATAGCTGCCCAATAAATGTTAGTCACCTTCCCTTTCCTCTTCCCAGCTGGTGAAGATTTTGACAAAGGGAGAGAAGCAGGAGGATATGTTAGTGTAAAATAGGAGCTGACTCCCTTCTGTGGGCTGGTCTTACTTTGATGTTGGAAGTATTTTTATGGGCCCTGTATTATCCACCCAAGTCTAGGCTACAGCAACATCCTGTCCTCTGCCAAAGGCAGGACTACTTCAAACACTTGGGGGGGGGGGGGGGGGGGGGGAGGGAGGGCAATAACAGAGCCCTGAGCTGGCCCAGCCCAAGCTGACCACTCAAATGAAAGGGAGCACACAGGCAGACTGTGGCCAGCCTACACTCAAGGCCAGGGACTGCTTCGTGGGGGTCTTCTGAGCCCTTTATTATCTCTCTTAGGCCTTTAATAATATTCAGTCATGACTCAAACATCATTTGAGGGTTTAGAGTGACATCTAAGCACAGCTTTGGCATGTCACTCAAGGCACTAGGAGGCTGACCCCACCAAATTACCTAAAAGAGCATTAAAGAACAAGCAAACATCATGTCTAGAAAGATAGGCTTTTCCCCTCAGGGACTGAACAAACATTACAGATTCTTCCTCATTACTGCAGTGTGTGTGTGTGCGCGTGTGTGTGTGTGTGTGTGTGTGTGTGTATACCTACAAGTCATCTTTGAAAATGTAACACACAGACTTCCATATGACTGACTTGGGAAGAACAGACAACAATTGAGGATGATACATACATTTGCTTTATGAGGAAGAATTCAACAACCTAGTGAATTTCAGGGGTCTTCAGGCTCATCCTGGGGACTGAACCAAGGGTATGTCCATAACAAGTCAGTTCATTCTGAAAGTTCCGAACAGTCTCAGGTGAGATCAAATCAAGGTCTCCAGCCGAGAGGAGATGGGCTTGAGGAAAAGGCTTAGGTATTAACAGGAAATGTTTGAAATCACCCTTCTAGGAATATTCTAGTAGATATTCCAGTAGACACATGCTGTATCATCAAGAGAAATGACTCCAGGCGCACTAACTCTAAAGAGCTGTGGCCGGCAGTTCTGCACAAAGGCTCCAGAATGAGTCTGTGCGGTCACAGTTCCCACTCCTGCTCCCCAAGACGCGCTGTGTGACCTTGAGCAAGTACTTCTCAGTACGTTTCTCTTCTGGTGCATAAAACAGGGTAACAACAGTGCTTACCTTATAGGGCTGTCATTAGTAGAAACATGATATGTAGTTTTTACCTGGCACATAACAAATGTTGGGGTTTTTTCAATATACAGGTAAAGTGCTAGACAACATCACGCACAGCATGTAGATTTTCCTTTGATATGCAAGAAAGTCTTTCTTCTATTACTTACGCAAAGTGGTACGAAAGAATGGAACGTGGTAGCACAGTAGGCATTCACAGCATCTGTACAAAACTCGGGCACCGAAGTAAGGGGACGCCCATGCCCTTTGTCCCAGATGTAGAGGGCAATCTGTCAGGACAGGAGACAGCAATGAATGAAGGAACTCAGCCAACACCACGACTGTTAGCATGAAATCTCTCAAGGGAAAGCAGACCACCTCTTCTACAGAGCATTCAGACTGAACCATATCAATCTGTCAATATTCAACAGATTTATTTTTTTTTTTTACTTATAAAAATAGTAATCTCAGGTGGGCCAATCTAATCTTTTTTTTTTTTTTTTTTTTTTTTTTTTTTTTTTTTTTTTAACGTTTATTTATTTTTGAGACAGAGAGAGACAGAGCTTGAACGGGGGAGGGGAAGAGAGAGAGGGAGACACAGAATCGGAAGCAGGCTCCAGGCTCTGAGCCATCAGCCCAGAGCCTGACGTGGGGCTCGAACTCACGGACCGTGAGATCGTGACCTGGGCTGAAGTTGGACGCTTAACCGACTGAGCCACCCAGGCGCCCCCAATCTAATCTTTTATTGACAGGAATCCATACTCTGACCACCAAACAATTCCAAAGTCGTCATAAGCAACTGCAGGGAAGTTATTTTAGGGTCTGTCAAATACTGCCATGAAAGATGAAAGAAAATATAACTGGGAGTCTGTTTTTCTACAGTGTGGTAATTATATACCTTGACTAAACCAACTTGTTGAAAACATCTAAAACTGTTGGATAAGATATCTTCAAAATGATTTTAAATGGACTGCTAAATTGCCACAAAAGTATGGAACTTGTGAGGACAAACATGCAAAAGGAAGAGCCTGGGGATAAGGACAAGAAGGGTAATTTTCCTCAGTAGGTAGAGGACTCTGGTGATGCTGTTTCTGGTAGGAGTTAAAAAAATAAAGACTATGATGCAGCTAAGGTGGGAGGTATCTGAAAGCAAACCCCACTAGAAAGCTGGGACTTTGGAGCTAGATGGAGGGGAAAAACCATTTCCAGATCTCCTTTGAGATCCTGTCATCAAATCCCAAGCTTCCCTAATTTGTGCCACCAGTGTGGGCCAAAACGCTTCAAACTGTAATTTACAGCGGTCAGTAGAACCCTCTAGCAGCAGGAAAAGCAAATGCAAATCATTCCCGGGGAACCCACACCCTTAACGTAGGACTCCAAGGATTACCACAGATACGGTTCCAAGCAAGACTGCTCAGAGGAAAATCATAAAAAGCACAAAGACATGAGCTGATGACCCAGAGCCAGGAGACAAACCTTAATCAGACCAAAAACTGCAGGTCTTGGAATTATCAAACATAGATTACAAAATTACTGTGTTGAATATATTTTCATAAAGAAGTAAAAACTTTCACACGTCAGCAAAAAATGTGTTTAACGATCATATAAAATAAGCAAATTTGAAAAAGGACTAAAACTTTTAAAAATAAAAAAACAATTGAAATGAAAAATGTAATGGTTAGGATAAGTAGTATATTAAACACAGGTGAATAAAAAAATTAGGGAATTAGGGGCACCTGGGTGGCTCAGTAAGTTAAGCATAGGCCTTTGGCTCAGGTCATGACCTCGCGGCTCATGGGTTCAAACTTGGCAACGGGCTCTGTGCTGACGGTGCAGAGCCTGCTTGGGATTCTCTGTTTCTCTCCTCTCTGCCCCTACCCTGCTTGTGCTCTCTCTCTCTCAAAATAAATTTAAACAAATTAAGGAACTAAAAGATGAAGGTCCCCAAATTATCTGAAATAGCACAGCAGAAACGGGGGGGGGGGGGG